CATACTGGTCCTCGAATTTCGGAAAGTTAATTATCCACGCTATACTTGGACAGGGAACATTCCCTCAAAATTTTTTCGGTCAAATAAGACTGCGTCATGCTCTCCTAATCTGCTCTCGTACAGTCATTGGCTCTGCCCTGCCTATGGAACAGATAAATTTCTCCTCGAAACCCAGCATTAATTTCCCTGTGAAGTGGATACTTTTACTTGTGAGGGATAAGTGAAGCGGCTTTCGAAAGAGGAAGCCATTGATAACTTGGTCAGATGTGGTTGCTGTTGGCATTTGTTACCATTCGGACTGCTTCTGATTGCCGCCTTTCATAGAGAGTGAATACAAAGGGCATTTTGACTTGTAATTGGCCGAACTCACACTAGGAATTATGACAGGAAGCTTGTCTTACTTTAGCGTTTTCTGTGGGAGACTAAAGCCAATAACAAGTTTTGTGCAGTGTTTTGCTTATATCTCGTTGCCATAAGGGCTAAAAAAAGGCGTCTAGTGCATTTTTCGGGCAAATTTCTTCAGCCGTGTTACTACTTCCAAGGAATATTTTTTTTATGTTGACTAACTGTAACGTTCAGTGTTTCAGAAGTTTCTTTCGAAAGTGCCTGGTGGCATATTCGGCCTCGAAAATGAGCAGAAACTTTTTGATTTGTATAATGTGACTGATGCCGAACTGCAAAGACAGTCCTTTTGCAGGTCTGTTTCATTGTTGTTGTTGTTTTTTGGGGCCTGAGAAATTACCATATTTTTTTAAGGCGTCCGTACTCGGGATCCAAGCATGCGCGGGTGATGGTATTAAAACGGGCGGTTTACACATAGTGTAGGCACACACTCCCGAAGTTTCAGCTTTCTAGCTTTTCTGGTTCTCGAGTTGAAAGTGGGTGACAGAAAGTGCGAACACATACGAACCGCAGCCTACAGGCATTTTTTTGAAATGGTAATTTAGCGATTTTTCTTGGGAAAAATTGTTTTTTTTTTTTGTTTTACAGGGTATTGTGCAGTTTGCCGATACCGTCACAGCATTTACTTGTTCTACTTTTTGGCACTTTTTCGATGATCTCAGAATCGGCCGATTCATTTGGCTCAAGGATGACGGCCGAAGCGCTTGGCATTTCTGTTGCACCTTCACTTTTTCATTCTTGCATTCACGATGGACAGCGGGTTCGTGTGGACGAATTTTTTTTTTAATTTAATTCCTCTTGATATTTTTCAGCTTCAGTAAAACAAAAATTTTTTATCTTTATTTACTCCCTCGTTAGAAACTTATGAAATTAAGGTAATATTGTTTGAACTCGTACGAAAATTAGCTGAAAAAAATTTTGTTTTTTTTTTTTGGAAGTATTTTTCTGGCATCGTTCTCCTGGCGATTCTAAAGTTCGTTTCGTCTCCTGAAGGAATTACCTACTCGGTTGTTCTCCAGACACACTTGTAGTAAGCATCATCACGTCATGTAGGGCGTTGCCACTTCTAGAACCTGATGAGGTACCTTTCTGAGAAAATGGGCATACGGCTCGATTACTTTTTTCTTGAGAAAAAATTTAGAAAGTTGAATTTTTGAGTTATATCTCACTGTTGGGGTTGTAAATTTAAAAAATTGCTTCTTTTTGTTACGGATTGTTTTTCAGGCAAAAATGGAAGATGTAATGCGATTTAAGATTGCTTCCGAAATCACCTCAAGAATCATTCAAAATTTTGGCTATACAAGCCTGTTTCCACGCGATTGTTACGAATTCTATGCTCGCATTACGGGACGAATGTTGGGCGATGACGAGAACGATTCGCGCTTGCGATTCGCAATACCAGCCAGTAAGATCTCACATATTCCACATTCCCTTTTCAGTTTTTACTTAGGAATTCTACCTGGAAAAACGTAAGGGAAGATTCAGCAGTTGCCTTTCAGTGTGCTGAGTCTTATTTTTTTTTTTCTGAAGTCGTTTATTCCGGGGGCTGTCTTCTAATGGGTGCGCCCAAAAAAAAGTGTGAAAAATATGAATTTTTTAGCTTTTTTTTTCAAGATGATGAAGAACAAGGGGAAAGG